CCTCGTGCGTATCACGGTGGAAAAAGTCTTTTTTGTTTTTTGTTTTTGTAAAGTGTTTTACGACGCTCGCAACTGCATAAGGTCGTATGAGCGCGTGGGACACACCTAATATTTTCAGTTGGTAAGAAATTTTGAATTTTGCCCGGGTGGCTGCCAAAGCCTACTCTTATCGATTTTAGACCACCAAGGGATCTTTAACGTGCGCAACTTGCACACGGGCCCTCCGAGATTTTTCGCCCTTGTCCGAGAAGGCTAGGTGTAGATCTTTCCTACCAGAAGATCAGGGGTGTGGCTGACAGACAGCAGTAAGAAGAAGCGAAGGAGTAGCAGTAGAAAGGCTGCAGAAAGAATCAGGAGCCCAGAGGAGGGGGCAAACGAGGTGAGGGGGTGTTTTAGTGTGAAAATGTTGTGAGAATAAATTATATAGAGCAGAAAGCTGCTATTGCAGGCGTTTAGCCGATCCCCACCCCCCCCCCCCTCCTTCCTCATCCATACATCCCCTTATCCCCGCCGTTTAAAAAATGTCTACCACTTATATCTTAGATTAGTATGGTACCAGTGACTGTTAGAAAGAACATAATTGCTCCGTCCAACCTGTTTTGAGCAGCAGTGAATGTATCAAAAGATGTAATAAGTTAGGTGTAAACAGTAAAAAAAAAAAAAAAAAGCAACAACAACAAATGCTATTTTTTAGTTTAGTTTAGTTTAGTATAGAGTTTTACGGCACTTACAACAAAATAAGGTCATATAAGTGCCGAAGATTAGAGGTGTTACAAGAGAGTAACAACAAACGTAAAAAAGAAGGAGATATAAGGACGATAGATGTTTAAGAGGAAAGAAGGAGCAAACCACACCAGAGCACCCGCCAACCACCCACAATGCTATTTGAAACAATCACAATTTTAAAGTGATAAATGTAACAGTATTGAATACATCGGTATATCACGTGAGTGTCTCCAACTTCTGTCTCCTCTCCACCTTCCCTCCCCCCCACTCCCTCTTCCTCCTTAGTTTTCGATTAAATAATATGCTACGAATTTGGACCACAAAGAGTATGATGCCCATTACAAAGCAAACCCGCCCCCCCAAAAAAAAATTAATTAAAATTAAAATAAAATAAAAAATAAAATAAAATAAAATAAAAATAAAACAAAAACAAAAAAACAACCCAACAAAAAACAACTAACAACCCCCCCCCCCCCCAACTTTTTTCGTACATGAGGTCAGAGCGACCCATAAGAGGCCCCAGAGAAAGGAAGGCACTGGGTGTACGTAGTAGGTCAATTGGTCGCTTTTAAACACAATAAGGGGGTTATCCCGAAAAATGCTGTTTTTGAGAAAATCAAAGGTAAAGTTTTTGAACCCTTGTTCAGTTTCTTTAAAAGACAAGGAGGGTTTTCTCTATAACCAAACAAATATACACACCAATGAAACCAAACTTCTCCTATAGGTAGGGCAATGCCCACTTTTGGTGTAGGACAAGATTTCTGGAAATCCCCGAAATCTGGGTTAGCCCGCTTGTCCTTAAAAGCGACCAAATAATTTACGAATACAGAGCTCTGACAGATTTTTATAAAGGAGGTCTGGTAGTGAAGGGGTTAGAAAACGCCAATAGTTGTTGAACTCCTCTTGTGTAACCTAATTAATGTCACTTCCACATTCCTGTCTAAAAGAATTAAATCTATCTTTATTTGTATCTTGCCATGCAAAACGTCATTGTCAGTATGGCGACTCTGAACATTATAATTGCAACTGCAACCTTTTTACACCTCCCTCGATACAAATTAGATTCTGAGAGGCGAGGTGCTACGACCCTTCCTTTCAGGGTCACCCCGGGCTGCGATGGATACACTGTCTCAGAAGACAGACAGATACTCAATAAAATAACATCCACATATGTAAATCGAAATCACATCTTCAAGTGCGACACGAAGCACCTATCCACCAAACCATAATAATATACGTGTATGAGCGTGTGGCGAATCTCCTGGGTTTTTTTTTGTTGCTTTTTTTTGTAAGTGTTTTACGGCGCTCGCAAAACTGCATAAGGTCATATGAGCGCTCGGGACACAATAAACTTTTTCAGTTGGTAGGAAATTTTGAATTTTGCCCGGGTGGCGGCCGAAGCCTATTCTTATCGATTTTAGACCACCAAGAGATCTTTAACGTGCGCAACTTGCTCACGGGCCATCCGAGATTTTTCGCCCCAGTCCGAGAAGGCTAGGTGTAGACCTTTCCTACCAGAAGATCAGGGGTGAGGCTGAAAGACAGCAGTAAGAAGAAGCCTAGTAGTAGCTGTAGAAAGAATCAGGAGCCCAGAGGAGGGGTGGGGGGGCAAATGAGATAGTGGGGGCTGTAAGAGGAGACGAAAGCCGACGACAGAACATTGCTAGAGAGCAGGATAGGAGGTGAATGGAGACACTTTAACCTCTAGGCCACGAGAGCCCCCACCGGCGAATCACCGTAAGATGTGAGTGAGTAACCACAATGATCGGGGGATGTCAATAAATCAACAAGAACACTACATGGAATACTAGTCATGGTACCAAACACAAATGGACGTAATCGTATATTTGAGTGTTTGTCTTGGTTTATTATCAATGTTTAGACCAGCATTCTCTCTAAATTCATGATCAATATTCAGTAAGTTTTTTTGTGACAGCTTTCAAGTGTGAATATAACAGAGAAGTCACTTCATGATTAAAATATTTAATGTTAACAATGATTACTTCCTCACCATTTTGTTTTAGCCTTCTTACACACAGGCGCTTTCCTTATTCCTCTATTTGTGAGGCAACGTGGTGGAATCAGAATCTCGTCAAAATAATCAAAGTGAAGAAACTTGCATTTTTCCTCAGGTTTCTTAATTTTCATCATTTTTTTTTTTTTGCATAACACCTTTCATGCCCATTAAAGAACTCATTTCTGAGTTGATTTTTACTGAAAGACATTGATTAAAAGCACACAGAATGTAAATTTTCAGTTACCACGGACTCTTAAGCTAAGGAAATAACTAATCTTTGGCGGCCATTTTCTCACTAATCTTACCTCTGAAAACAGGTGACCCCCACCAACTTCTTTTGCAAATATCTCGACTTGTATTCAAGACAAATGGATATTTTTTTCATCCAAATAAAGACAAGTGAACAAGCTTTAAGATGATACCAATAACTCTACATACCCAAAAATTTACGAGAGCCTGATTCCACCACGCTGCCTCACATATTTATTGTGACAAAAGTGGATACAGCTAGGGCGCTCTTGTGGCCTAGAAGTTAAAGTGTTCGCCTCTCATTCAAAGGTCCAGGGTTCGAATCCGGGTAGAGACCGAAACAAGTTCTTCTCTAAACTTGTCTCCTTTCACCTTCTTTCCTTCTCTTTTGCAATATTTTGTCGTCTGCTTTCGTCTCCTCTTTCTTCCCCACCCCCTCACCCCCTTTGCCTTCTCCACTGGGCTCCTGACTGCAACCTTTTTACTGTTGGTACTTGGCTCCTTCTTACTGCTGTCTTTCTGCCACACCCCTGATGGTCTGATAGGAAAAGATCTACACCTTGCCTTCTCGGACAAGGGGAAAAATTTCGGAGGTTCCGTGGGCAAGATGCGCACGTTAAAGATCTTTGGTGGACTAAAATCGATAAGAGTAGGCTTCGGCCGCCACCCGGGCAAAATTTAAAATTTCCTTCCAACTTAAAAATGTTTGGTGCGTTCTGCGTGTTCATATGACCTTAAGCAGTTGCGAGCGCCGTAAAACACTACTTAAAAAAAGGATACAGCCATGTAGAAAGCAATCTGAAACAAAAATGAGTCAGAAGTTGCACGGGTGATTGTAACAAAGGGTTAACGTGGAACATTGACAGTAACTGTTGTGGAAACAATATGTGAAAAAAAAATAGTTTGACTCTTTTTGAACATATGATGACTTGTTTTATTCTTTCATTTGCAACGCGTTGTAATATTCAGAATGCTGTGGAAAAAAATCGTAATGATAAAGGTTGCTTTTATGATTTTTATTTCTTCTTAGATTGTTACATAGTTGGCAAAAACATTTTTTGTATTAATTAACGGAACGTCGCTTTGTCAAAATAATGCCTCTATCTAATTAACCTATTGAGTTATGTAGCGAATAATGACAAATCAATGTAAAACTTTTAAGTTTTGGTTTTACGAATTGGAAATGCAAACACAATAGAAGGATAATAATATGCCTAAATTGACTAAACAATTAGTCTTCGAGAAAAACAAATTGTAAAAGTAGAACATTTCAATCTCTCTATCTCACACAACCACATAGACACACAAAAACCCATTAACACAGACGTGACATACACACACACGCACACACACACACACACACACACATGCACACATACACACACAAAAAGCAAACAAACTAACACACACACACACACGCACACATATATAATTATATGTATGTAATATAATATAATGTAATACTATATAATATATATATAAATATATATTATATATATATATATATATATATATATATATTTATATATATACATATATATCTATCTATATATATACATATATATATTTACATATATATATTATATAGTATATATATATATATGTATATATATTCATAATATATATATATATATATATATATATATATATATATATATATATATATATATATATATATATGCACCAATACAGTGTCAGACAGACAGGCAGACGGACAGAGAAAAGGAGGAAGGGAAGGAGGGTAGGGTAAAATAAACCAAGAGCACAAGCAGACATCGCTTGATTTGTACCATTTCACATTTCTACATGTCACCGTTTTACCCGCCAGCAACAGTGATTTATCTTATTGTTTTTGCAAATCTCTTTTTATTCACATCCACCATGAAATTAAAAGCACACTCCTATAATCCTTTCAACAGACATAACAGTACAACCATACTCCCTCTCTCTCTCTCTCTCTCTCTCTCTCTCTCTCTCTCTCTCTCTCTCTCTCTCTCTCTCTTTCTCTCTCTCTCTCTCTCTCTCTCTCTCTCTCTCTCTCTCTCTCTCTCTACCTCACTTTGTCAATCTCATTCTGTCACTCGGTCACCAATTCTCTCTTTGACAAATTCATATACCACACATACACACACCCACAGCCAGTCAGCCACCCCTCCGCCCCTCCCCCCCCCCCCCTTACACACACACGAACACAGACACATGCATACAGAACCAGTATCTGTATAATCAGCAATATAGTACTATGCACCAAAATAGCACAAAGCGATAATATCAGTGTCGACATTGTTGTCGCAGTAGATGTTTCTTCGACATTAATCCTGTCTCCAAACACATCATGGCTGTCTTCTCCATTTCGAATTATAACGCTTTGCCAAAAGGGTTCGACCGCCCAAAGGAAATCTTATCTGGTAATATGATTTTCTTTGGATTCACTTCATATCCAGGAACGGCCAACCTTTGCTGACAGGACATTTAAGTTGACTCCACTTGCATTACCGAAAAGAATCTTGTCACAAAAGTCTCGGAAGAATTTCATGAATCTTAAAACGAGGTTCAAGCAAAGCTTTTGGGGTTGATATACGTTGAGGCTAGTGAAAACAAGACAGATCTTAACCAAGTAGAACGTGGCTTTGTTTTTGATACAAGTGTGGGTCTTATTGCCCTGAAGACATTCAAAGTACTATTTTTGATACTGTATCCAAGTAAACTAGAATCGCAACTAACAGACAAATGGCAAGTAGCAAGGCTTCAAAGAATGTTGGGCTTGTATATGTGAACTCCTGCAATCGAAATGCAGTGACAATGGTATGAACTGTGAGATCTGAAATGAATGAATTGTAACTGTTTCAAATATGCTCCTTTGAGATCAGTGCAATGTGATTGGAAATGATAACATGACATCATATGAATGTATAATTACATGTACATGCATGATATTAGTATAATTCACTGTTCAGCTTCAGCCCTATAAGTTTAGTATGTAAGCTCCTCTGTCGTCAAATTTCCATATAAAAATATAACTCCCGAATAGCAGACCGTCTATAGGCGTTGTTCTACGTCTCTGTGCCTGTCCAACCAAATGCAGAAATTCTTTGCAGTTAAAGCACTTAAACAACACGAACATAAAGACATTTTCATTGGTCGCACAGCTGGCAGTATGCAAATGAGCTTTTCTCCCCACAAAATGACGTCATACTTCGCTGGGCCTAATGTGAATACTTCAATCTCTCTTGTAAGGAAAATTACCTTTCGAAATAAAAGAAGTAATAACATGTACAATATAATTAAAACTGCTTTCTTAGAAATTCACGTTGAAGTACATAATGAAAAAAAAAAAGCCGTGCAGAAGCAAGTTCATGGCTGACAAACCGTGTCAAGTGCCAGTTCAACAAGAGCCTTTATACACTGACCAAGAATCACGAAAATCACTATCGTTTCAAAACAGATCACTCCACTCCAATGATTCGGGCAACTGAACGCATAAGGACGTTCTAGACCAGACTAACTTGTGGAAACACAACTTATGTGAGATCAGAATATCGACAACGTGGGTCACATAACAATATAATAAGTATCAGCTTCCAGCCATGGCAAACGAGTGTTTTATTGAGTTCCTAAAGTTCGTACCGCACACTCAAATGTTGACACTATTCATCCGTTGTCCGTCGTGTGTGTGAGTCCATCGCATAATTTAACCTACTTTCCTGTGCTACGCTTTCACTTCACAGCAGTCTGGAAAACCAAACAGTAGCTACCATGCCATACACATGGCAACAAAATCTTGCTCATATGTGCAATTCTGCCAATGTGATGTTCATGATGTCATTGATTGTGTTGTGATAGTATGAATGTTTGCTTATGTATCGGCGATAATTTAATAAGCATGTGAAATACATTGTCATGTTCATTCACGTGTATTGTGAGTTGAGATGAGGGTATTGCAAAGCACCTATAGCTGTATTGTACAGAAGTGGGCGCTACAGAAATTGTCACTATTTTTATTAGAATGTTAGTACAATGCAAATACATCACAACAGTATTATTCAGCATATTGTATGTCTGTATTATCAAATATGACATACACCACTCTAATCTGGAAATTGTATAACAATCAAACAGTTGAATGTACATTGAATTACTTTTAACCAACATAGACACAATGTGTTACCACGGATGGTCTTTGCAAAGAGTATTTCGGTAGTTAAATTCGTCATATTATGCAAGTCCGGGAACCTTTGCAAACAACATACGTGCTCATTCACAATTTCACCGAATGTTTTTCTCAACTTCATGGTCAGAGTTAGCCGGTTGGCCATACCGTGAATAGCCACACATATTGTAAAATTCTGCCGCACCGGATTGTCTGCCACAGAGGTCTGATGGTGAGTGAATATAGCTTCATTTTTAACGCCGCTTCACGTAGGTCGGATGTCATTCTGAACTGGGGGCGAGTACTTGACAAAGAGACGCCAACCCAAGCTCAAAATCGGGACGTTGTTCTTCGGCGACCAGAGGAAAATAATGTATTCCTGTCAAAAGTTTTGATAATGTTGCGTCTTGTTTTGCATGTCATTGAGACACATATTTCAAAACACGGTTGAGGAAGATGACGTTTTCTTTTCTTTTCTCCGAACAAGAACCACCGCCTAACAACAGCATGGTGGGCGTGTTTGTTGTATCAGTGCAAAGAAAACAAGACTAACACAATGGTGGTGGAGGTCACAGTGATCCCCAAGAACACCCAGAACAGAAGAGTATCCACGGCGCTGCCTACATCAGTCCATGTTATCAAGGACCAGTCATCAATACTGTCCTCGTCCTCACTTTTGCGCCGCTCTAAGAATGACGCTCTTTCAGCAGCTCCCCGCGATAGTTCGATGTCGTCTCGCGCTCTCTCGTCTACTCTCGTGTCGAGCGAGCCTTCAAGGCCGTCGGAGTTATTTTTGGTGTGAGACTCGCTGGGAAATACTCTCATACCTTCGGCTTCGTTGCCCGGGTGTCTCCGCCTTCCCGCCTCTCCGTTGGACGACCAATAGCTATTGGCGTTGCTCCCCTCCGGATGGCCTTCAGCTTGTAGCGAAGAATACCGTCGATCATTACGAGTGCTTCCACTGCGCAAGCGTGGTAGGTTTTTCCGGAAACTACCCTTCCGGAGTTGACGTCTGATTTGACGCCGTCGGCAGCAGACGAGACAACGTAGAAATCTGGGAACAGGTTTGTCTGTGTCCTGATGTATCATGTTCATCACCACACCAGATGATAGCACGGACATGGTGCTTAGAGACAGCAATGACGTCAAGTACACGGCTGGGGTAGAGTAAAAAGAGGCACAGGAAACAATTAGTCAACACAATAACATGGGCACATATGTGAAGCATCGTGGTGAAATCAGGCGCTCGTCAAAATAATCAAAGTGAAGAAACTTGCATTTTTCCGCAGGTTTGTGAATTTTTATAAAATTTTAGTTTTGGGGCTCAACACCTTTTATGGCTATTAAAGAACTCATTTCTGTGTGGCTTTTACTGCAAAATGTTGATTAAAGGGACAAAAGATGTGAATTTTCAGTTAACAAGGACTCTTAAGCTAAAGAAATAACTAATCTTTGGCGGCCATTTTCTCATTAATTTTTCCCCTGAAAACAGGTGACCCTCACCTCCTTCATTCTCAAATATCTCGATTTGTATTTAAGATAAACGGATATTTTTTATTCCAATCAAAGACAAGTGAAGAAGCTTTAAGATGATACCAATAACTCTATGTGCCCAAAAATTGACGAGAGCCTGATTTCACCACGCTGCCTCACATATAGTCAGGTACATACAAAAAGCCATTCCCAAAAGGGGGGGGGGGGGCATTAACATCTCGAGGTCTTATGCACAGTAGAATTGTAATTGTAATGGGCTGATTCATCAATGTCATGCTCATAACTGCCTGAACTGCAACAAGGAAATGGTGCTTTTTCTTTCCTAATCCTTACTATCGTCATTTTCCTCTTCTTCTTTTGTATGTTTGTCACACTCTTGTGACCCGCGATTTCCGGGATACCTTGATAGTCGAAGCAGACTTTGTGATGTTGAAGCTAGAGAGGTGAGCAGAGTAAGCTGATTCCCTGTAAGGACTTCTCTGTTGACATCCACCCTTTGGCGCTCATGTGACCTTATGTAGTTGCGAGCGCCGTAAAACCTCTACTAAAACAAAACTAAAAAACATACAAAATGTTCTGTCTAATACTCCGTCATATTTCACTTTTCAAAATGGCGTTTTAGATAAGATAGGATAAGATATGATAAGATAATCTTTATTGTCCAGATCTTGGCACATTGGTTTGGTGATTCACCTCGTACACACACACACACACACACGCACACACACACACACACACACATACAGACAAACACATACATACAAACGCAAACATACGCATACTCACGCGGAGTCTTACACTTAGCAGAACTTAGATTAGTTAAATAGTAAAATACATGTATAAACCACCATACAATCGTGCAGTACGACGCTCATAAGAGTCATAAGCCCTCTGTTCTTTGTTACTGGGAGAAATGTCTATAACCTCACTGAGGCCCCAACTGTGAGCCCCCATGGTGACCCCGGATATGTATATTAGATCATGCTCGATAGAAATTTGCAAAGGAGGGGGGGGGGGGTCGAAGTGCTAAACTTTACTCGTACCGTAGGTTATACTAATGGGAAAATGGTTTTATGGGAAGAGAGTGACCCTTTAGTTTTAGTAAGAGTTTTACGGCACTGGCAACACAATAAGGTCACATAGGTGCCGAAGATTAGAGGTGTCACAAGAGAGTAACACACACAAAAAAATAAGGAGGGGAGAAAGAGACGATATATTTTTTTGTAGGAAAGAAGGAGCAACCCCACCAGACCACCCGCCAACCACTCACCCCTGTGGAGTGACCATAAAGGTGCGCTAAATCCTCAAAGTAAAAAGAAAGTGTAGGGGTTTAAAACCGCTATCAACACCAATAGGTAGTTATTCAAGAGGCAGGACCTACGAATTTGACGTCAGTCCACCGATAAGACCGACGTCTAACCGTATCAGTTCGTCCACTCACCTAGGATAGAGATACTTTCGGACGTTTTGGGCATGACCTCGCTTATAATGCTGAGGTACACTGTGAACGACAGAAGCACCGTCACCGCCAACGCCATCTTCTCCCCAGAGCTTGCCGGCAGCAAGAAGACGAGCACGTTTAAAAGAGACAACATGACCACCGGGACTATCGTGTTGAGCACGTAGAAGGTCCGTTTCCGCATCAGTTCGATGACGAACTTCACACCAGTGTGTGCTGGGGAAACAGAATAATAAGTTACAAATGATAATAGCTCCATAAATGTTAAACATATTAGCACCATAAATGTTAAAAATAACAACTTCATTACAACTAACAATACCTTTCATAAATTTAAATGTTAAAAACAATAGCTCCATAAGTCTTAATAATAATAGCCGTATACATATCTAAAATGCTAGCTTCATAAATGTTAAGAATAATAACTCAATAAATGTTTCAAATAATAGCTTCATATATTAAAAACTATATCATTTGTTCTTTTCTTTCATCCGTCTTTTCTTTGTATGTTATCTCTAGTAACACCTCTTACCTTCGGCATTCATATGACCTATTTGTGTTGCAATAGCTGTAAAACTCTCACTAAAAAAGAAACAGAAAAAAAGGTTGGACCCTTCACATTCGTATAAAAATGTAAGTATGATACCTGTGTTGGATCTTTCAATAAAAGCTTTTATTAATTTTATTCTTTAAAATCAAGTTTTTCCGTCTGTTTATTGAATTTGTATATCCCTGTCAGCCAAGGTTGATCCTCTGAAAGACAAGAGTCGAAGCAGTTTGCCTCTTAAATAATCCAAACTGTGCCGACGGAGCGTAAGGCATTCGCAGTTACAACTATACTATTTATCTATTTATCTATTTAATAAAACCACCAATTAGTTAGTCTGTCACGGCGGTTTTATGCACCCTGAATAATTTAGCAAAATTTGATCATTTTTTGCATAATTTCTGATTATTTACCTTCCTCATTCTTTGCTAAAATTAACAGCATCGCATAATTTCACATTTTTGGGCTCAGTTTGCATAATTTCAGAATTTGTCTTGCATAAAACGACGGGGACTGGTCAGTCTTACGCTGAACTCAAATTGACCTATAGTGGCGTTCTTCACACGACAGCATACCAGCTTAGCAGAAAACGACGTATGCGTGGACAAAGTTCAAAGTTAGGTAAAAGAAACCACTGTGACCTAAAGCAAAAAAAAATGCATAATGCCAAACAGTTTTCAGTATTCTATTTTACCCAAAACTATAAGTGAGGCAGCGTGGTGGAATCAGGCTCTCGTCAATTTTTGGGCACATAGAGTAATTGGTATCATCTTAGAGTTTGTTCACTTGTCTTTATTTGAATGAAAACAATATCCCTTTATCTTTAATACAAGTCGAGATATTTGAGAATGAAGGAGGTGTGGCTCACCTGTTTTCAGAGTTAAAATAAGTATAAGTGAGAAAATGGCCGCAAAAGATTAGTTATTTCCTTAGCTTTAGAGTCCATGGTAACTGAATATTTACTTCTTTGTGCATTTAATCAACAATTTTCAGAAATATCCACACAGAAATGAGTTCTTTAATTGGCATGAAAGGTGTTGAGCTCAAAACAAAAATTTGATAAAAATTCACAAACCAGCGGAAAAATGCAAGTTTCTTAACTTTGATTATTTTGACGAGTGCCTGTTTCCACCAATCTGCCTCACAACAATAATTTGACAACTCAGGCATTTGTCGTAGCTCATTGGTGTAGCGAGGTGCTGTTCCAATCAACTAAAACGTATTTTATTTTTGTTAGAGCGGAGGAATTTGAGGTGAAGAAAAGCTGTCCAAAACTTTACATTTATTCTTTTAAAGTGCACGTAAATGTTCTTGAGCTATACTGCTAGCTTGTCTGTGGCTGCTTAGACCAAGCACTATTAGCCGCTCGGGAAGTTTTGGTGGTGTGAATTGTGTCCAGATTACAGGTGCACTCGATGTAAAACGTGGGCATCAACTGGTGAAGTTCTTTGAACAAAGTGAATGTTTTTGCCACCCTCAGTCCCCCTTCCCTTTATTCCTTTCAATGGTCTAAAGTTATGTGGTTTTTCAAATACATTTATCCTTACAACCCACTTTTCAACACATCAGAACGTTTCTAAATACTCTACGAGCACCATAAACCCTTTGTTAGCTTATTTCTAGCTAGTACTAATGAGATTCAGTACACCATTAGCTCAGCGCTCACTCAGTTAATGTGATGTTGGGACTATTGTGCAGATGACTTTGGTTCAAATCCCAAACGTGATGTTGTTAAACTTGAGTTCTTTGGGGTCCAGCATTCTCTTCCATCCATTTGGCTTTGTCCTACCTTAGAAGTTCTGACTTTTATCTAACTTTTCAAGCTCAAAGGGGCGTTAAACCCATACCATGTCTACCCAAAGAGGTTAGAATACGTATATTCATAGCACTAGAGCTCTTGGCAATGGCGTCATCCACGAAAGGGAACGAGGGCAACGTGTGCCCACTCGTGGCAGCTGAAAGTTCAGGGAAAGAATAACTCAGACGGGTGAGTTCTTTCGAATTCCATGTAGATGTTTTGGGAGGAAAGCTACAAGCGTTGGCTGAAATGTGAAGACAGGGCGTTATCTAATATACCCGAGCTCGTGGGGAGTAGAGTAGGGGCTGAGATTAGTCATGCAAATTGGAGGAGGGGGGGGGGGGAGATGGGGTGCCGGCCATGTTTCGGGCAAGAAGTCCTCCATGTCTGACACATATGACGTCACTTCCATGAGCTCAGCTATATTATAACCTCTTTGTTCGATACACACCTGTTCCAATCTTGTATGTGGACGGGTAGAAGTATGGCCTGGCCACAGCTGACTTGATGTCCCACTCACCGTTGGGGATACATGCGTCCAGGCTGACCAGTTCAGAGCCAGGCTGAAAAAGGAGTAATACAAGAGAGAGATACATTTGGAGTACAGCTCTGTGTTTGCTTAAGCGTGTTTTGATAAGGAATACATGTTTCTATAACCGATACACAGTCGAACCCATCTGCGAAGACCACTCTTTGTCAAGAAGAAAATTATTGGTAATTTAAGCCCGATGGTCTTCTTAAAGATGCCAAGGGGAAAGCTGGAAGTGACCACTTGCGCAGGTGATTGTCTTTGTTGTTGTTGTTGTTGTTGTTGTTGTTGTTGTTGTTGTTGTTATCGATCTAGCAACAGCTGGGCTCTCGCCCTTCTGTCCAATGCCATGTAGTGATAAGTGCAGGTCTGCTGCAGTTGCTGTAATGTTCCATAGAGTGTGTTGTCAATGTTAGGTCTCGGAGGGAGAAGGGTAGCTCTGATGTCATTTAGGGCTGTACAGTGGAACAGGTGATGATCCACAGTCTCATATGCATAGTCACACAAGGGACACATTGGGGGAAGTTCCGGGTTTATTCTGTTCAAGTGAAAGTTGAGCTGTATATGTTCTGTTCGTAGGCGGAAGATCGTGGTCTGTTTCTTTCTCTGAAGGCGGTTGATATTGTCATTCCCTTTTGTTGTGGTCATATGTTTGAAAACTGTTCTGCCTGTCTTTCCCAGGGCCCATCTGTTCATCAAATCTTGTTTGTTGTTGCTTTTGAGATTTGTTTTGCAGTGTTGTATGAAGTTGGAATGTTGGGTTGTTCCTGTCTAGATCCCCGTTTGGCGAGTGTGTCTGCTCTGTCATTTCCAGGTATGTCTGAGTGTCCGGGGACCCACTGCATTACTAGGTTGATGCCACAGAATGTTATCAGATGATGGGATCCAAACAGTATATGGGTCAAATCTTGGTTTAGGTGATGGTCATTTTCTATGGCTTGTAATACTGATAGTGAGTCAGAGAAAATCACAATACTCTGTGCTTTTCCAGGATGAGTGTCAAAAACTGTGCGGAGATGGTACAGTGCTGTTTCAATTGCCATCATTTCTGCATCGTAGTTGCTGCATTTCTCTCCACAAGCTGCAGAGATCTCATTGGAACTGCCATCTGGGTACTGTATTAGTATTCCATATCCGGCTTTGGTTGTGCCTTTGAATGCTGAGCCGTCCGTATAGACGTGTATCCAGTCATCTGAATAGCTGTCGGTTGTTTGATGTGATGCAAGCATCAGCGTCACTGAGTCTGAACATTTTGTGCTCTTGAGATGTTATAATGATTGGCTTTTTAAAAGAAAGGTGGGGAGGGATGTTTTGGTTGACTCTTTTGGTTTCTTTTCTATTTTGTGGTAGATGGTGGCTCTCCATTAGTTCTGTGATGTGTGATTGTCTTTAAAAGGTGGCCGTTAAAGAAGATTCAATCTCTCTTACTCTCTCTGTCACTGGATCGCCCCCCCCCCTCTTTCTCTATCGTTCTGTCTGTCTGTCTGTCTGTCTATCTGTCCGTCTGTCTGTCTGTCTGTCTGTCTGTCTGTCTGTCTGTCTGTCTGTCTGTCTGTCTCTCTCTCTCTCTCTCTCTCTCTCTCTCTCTCTCTCTCTCTCTCCATTTTTATCTCTTTTTATCTCTCCACCTATAATATATTAATTATATTAATGGCGATACAAAGAGAGAAAGAAAGAGATCCAGAGACAGAGAGTAAGAGGAGAAAAATGACTAGTGGTATATAAGTAAGGAGAGGGCCGGGAGGGGGGGGGGGGTTCTGGATTTTTCCTTCTTTGCTGATACCTCCTGGTAAAATGGAATGTGTTAAGTCTAGCCGGGTGCTTAGATCTTTTAGAGTCAACATTGAAATATGTTCCATTTTGAGCTTTAGCCTACAAACATACATACAACTAATGTAGCAATTAGGAAACGTACGAGTATATTTCATTTTTTCTGTTCAAGATTTTCTGTCCGACTAGAGACCATAAGACACAACACAGCACCCCATCCTTCATGTAACAAAGCCTATTATAATCTGCCGAGAACAGTTA